TCTAGTTTTCCTGTAATTTCTGCATCATGATTCTCCTTTTTAACATTTCTCCATTACAGTTACGATTTCTATTTTTTAATGTTTCGATTTTATTTTTCATCAATTTTTCGATAAGCGATTCTACAACTTTACGATTTTTAAATTTAACGATTTTTCGATTTCACAATTTTTAATTTTCCAATTTTAAAATGTCCCGATTTTTCGAGCTTCCAGTTTTACAGTTTTTGAATTTCTGGAAATTTGAGTTTGAATAAATTTGCTTTTTTTGTTGAAATATTGAAAAACGGAAAATCATAGCAACATAAACGGATTTTTTGAATTTTTTGATAATTTTTACTTTTTTGTTTTTTAATTTTCTGATTTTTTGGAATTTTTTGATATTTGGTATAATTTTTATTATATAATTATATAATTATAATTTTCGCGTTGTATTTATTTTCTGATTTTTTGTAATTTTTAGATTTTTGGATGGTAGAATTATCGGATTTCTTGATTTTTTGAGTTTCGTGGATTTTTTATATTGTTTTGATCTTTAAATTGTTTGATTTTTGTTTTTTTGCGTATTTGCGATTTTCTGGGTTTTTTGGATTTTTTGGATTCTTTAGACTCTTGGGATGTTTTGGAACTTTCAATTTTTTAGATCTTTGGACCTTGTGGACCTTTTGAATTTTTGGGATCTCCTGGATCTATCGGATTTTTTGAATTTTTGTGATTTTTGGGTCATTTTTGTTTTTTTGTTTTATTTATTTTCTTTTTTTTTGGATTTTTTGGGATATTTTCGATTTTTTGGATTGTCAGAATCATTGGATTTCCTGAGTTTTTTGAAATTATCGAGTTTTTTGGATTTTTTGAATTTTTTGGAATCTGTGGATTCATTGGATTCTTTGAATTCTTCCCTACGATATTTTGGATCTTTCGGATCGTTCGCATTTTTTCGGATCTTTGGGGCTTTTTGAACTTTTTGATATTATTGTTTTTGATATTATTGTTCTATGTTTCAAATTCACAATTTTGCAATTTTCCGATTTTTCAATTTCCTAATTTTTCGCTGTATTGATTCTTTCGTTTTTTCAATTATTCAGTTTCGAATTTTCACCGTTTCTATTTTTCAATTTATCATAGATTTTTCGGTTTGCAATTTTAGAATTTTACGATTTTTAAATTTTTCAATTTTTCGATCTCACAATTTCAGTTTGAAGAAATTTGCTTTTTTTGTTGAATTATTGAAAAATAGAAAATCAGAGCAACATTAACTGTTTTTTTGGATTTTTTTGATAATTTAATTTTTTTGTTTTATTGTTTTATGATTTTTTGGATTTTTTTTGATATTTGGGATAATTTTTGTATTTTTGTTTTATTTATTTTCTAATTTTTTTGAATTTTTTGGGATATTTTCGATTTTTGAATTATAGTAATTATCGGATTTCTTGAGATTTTGAATTTCTTGGGTTTTTTATATTGTTTTGATCTTTAAATTCTTTGATTTTTGTTCTATTTTTATTTTTTTGACTATTTTCGATTTTCTCAGTTTTTTTTTAATTTTTGGATTGTTTGAATTCTTTGAATTTTTTGGATTTCTCGGACTCTTTCGATTCTTGGGATTTTTTAGCACTTTGGAACTTTGAATTTTTTGGATCTTTGGATCTTTTGAATTTTTTGGATCTTCTGATTCTATCAGATTTTTTTTATTTTTTTGAGTTTTGGATAATTTTTATTTTTTATTTATTTTTTGGATTTTCTGGGATATGTTCGTATTTTTTTGGATTGTCCGAATTATTGCATTTCTTGAGTTTTTTTAATTTTGCGAATTTCTGGGATCTTTTGGATTTTTCAGATATTTTAGATTTTTTAAATCGCTTCGATTTTTTTGAATCTGTGGATTCTTTGTATTCTTTGGATTCTTTGGAATATTTGGATTCTTTGGATTCTTTCTTACAATCTTTTGGATCTTTCGGATCGTTCGGATCTTTCGGATCTTTGGGACTTTTTGGATTTTTTAATAATTTTTATTTTTGTTTGTTTTATTTTTCATTTTCTGCTTTTTTCGGTTTTTGTTTTATTTTTATTTGTTTTACTATTGTCGATTTTCTCGGTTTTTTGAATTCCTTGGATAGTTTGGATTTTTTGGATTTTTCGGATTCTTTGGATTATTTGGATTCTTGTGTTTTTTTGGCACTTTGATTTTTGGGAACTTTGGGTTTTTGGATCTTTGGATCTATTGGATGTTTTGGATGTTTTGAATTTTTTAGATTTTCTGGTTCTATTGGATTTTTTGAATTGTTTTGATTTATGAATGTTTATTTTTTTCTTTTATTTATTTTGCATCGTCGGAATTATTGAATTTCTTGAGTTTTTTAGTTTTTCCAGTTCTGGATTTCTTGGATTTCTCATATTTTTTGGATTTTTTAAATTCTTGGATTTTTCGATTTTTTTTAATTTCTTGAATTTATTGGATATGTTCGAATCTATGGATTCTTTGGATTCTTGGAATCTTTGGATTCTTTCGATTCTTCCTTAATATGGTTTGGACCTTTCGAACTTTTGGGACTTTTTGGATTGTTTGATATTTTCTATTTTTTTTTATTTTATTTTTCATTTTCAATTTTTTTTCGATTTTTGTGATATTTTCTATTTTCTGGATTTTTGGAATTATCCGATTTCCCAGGTTTTTTTGTTTCCTGGATTTCTTGGATTTTTAATTTTTTTGAATTTTTAAAATCTTTGATTTTGTTGATTTTTTTGAACTTTATCAGTTATTCGATTTGTTGGATTTACTGAAAATTCATTAAACAAATACGAAAAATTGCAAAATCAAAAACTGTAAATTCGAAAAATTTGCAAAATAAAAATCTAAATAATGAAAAATCGAAAAATGGAATACTAATAGCTGAAAAATCGAAAAATCCAAAAAACCGGAGAATTCCGCAATTTATCGATTTTTAGATTTTTCAGTTTTGAATTTTTCGATTGTGCCTTACCTCATTTTTCCGTTCATCGATTTTTCGATTTTTGAATTTCACAGGTTTGCAGTTTTTCGAATTTTACGATGATGTAATTTATCAGTTTTTCAATTTTTTTTTTCAAGAGTTCAATTTTTCGATATTTCGTTTTTTTCAAATTCACAATTTTGCATTTTCCGATTTTTAAAATTTTCAATTTTTCAAGCTATCAATTCTTCCACTTTTTCTATTTTTCAAAATTTCGATTTTCTATTATTTCAATTTTTCAGTTTACCAACAATTTTACGGTTTGCACTTATCCAATTTTACGAATTTTCAATTTTTCAATTTTTATTTTTCAATCTTTCACATTTACAATTTTAACTAGTTTTAAAATTTTCAGTGTTTCGATTTTTCAATTTCAGGATTTTCAAAATCGATACGTTGCAAAAACGCAAATTTAAAAAAACATAAAATTGAATAAACGAAAAATTGAAAAATCGAAAAATCCTAAACTCCAAAAATTGCTAATTAAAAATTTAAATAATGAAAACCGAACAATGGTATAGGTGGAATATCGAAAAACTGATTTTATTTAGCAATTTTTTTATTTTTCAATTTTTCTATATTTATTTTTCACAGTTCTCGATATTGACAATTTAAAAATTATTGATAGTAAAAAAAATCCTTGTTAAAAAAGACGAAAAAAAAGTACACAATTATCAAAAAGTAAGTGTTCGGAAAACGATAATAATTATACATTTTAAAAAATTGATCTAAAATTATCTAGACAGAATTTCCCTCGCCCTTTAGACACTACTCGAACAAAAAAACATTCGATAATAAGGATGGAATTCGAACCCACGCAAGCGAAACACGGTAAAAATATTGCACAAACAAATTTTGTAAAGTAATTGTAGTAAAAATCGAGGCGGATTCATAAACCAGGAATACAGGAAGTACATTATTTTACAAAATTTAGACACCTTTACTGCGCACAATGATGAGGTTGTCCAATTCACCAGAAGCGTATTTCTATGGGTGAAACTATAAATATGGTAAAAAATAATCATTCCGTTCTAGAAGTAAAGTAAAGAAATTTGATAAGATACGTGTTTGTTAAAATGGGTTTTACCTATCTCGTCTATATTTATATACTACATATGTTTCTGAGAAACAATTTGTTTACCTTTTAACCAGATTTTTATGCATCAGATTTATATCGTATAAAAAAATATTTAAAATGCAAATATCCCTTCTAAAATACAAACAGTTGCATAATTAAAAAGTAGGCGTGTTACATAGGGTATCGTGTTCATAATGTGGTTAAAAATAAACATATTTGTAAATATGCTTTTGTTATTAATGCACGCTAATTTTAATAAGTACATATACGAAACAGGTTTCGATTTGTTATTGCCGCACTAGTGTGACAATGTAGCTCATTTATTTGAAGTACTGATTTTATTTATGAAAATGTTTTCCGAAACCTTGACCTTACATCACACTATTCGATTGTTCGCTAAAAATAGAACGTACCGTCTGCACAAATTTTGCCGCGAACTTTTCGATTTCCGGTCTTTTAAACAAAACATTCTCTATTTTAAACCAGTGAATGTCACGTTCGTTTACCAACCACCGTTATCGATTCATACCCATCCACAACTCCCAAACCCGTCGCCCCGAATAAATTACAGCTAATAAAAACCCATGAACGCAACTCCCGCCAAACTCCACGTCGTTCCATCCGGCCATAAACAACAATAAAACGCTTTCCAACTTTCCAACCACCCATTCGACGAAACAAACCGAACACGCATGTGATGCGTTTCATTAGCCGCCGATATCTAATATCCCGCGTGTCCGATCCTCCGCATACAATTTTCTAATATTTGTTACACTTGGCTACCAAAACGGAACAAAGATTGGAAAGGCAACGTGCGGTTCACACTAGCTGAACATTCGTGTTCGGTACGGCACTGCGCTCTCACCTCGGAGCTCAGAGTCGGATTCCCGAGGCGCGAAAATGTGCGGCTACCCTTTAGATATGTCTCTGTGCAGGCGAAAACCCGGATTCCCCGGATCCCTCACCGACTTGCACAGGTTCCGGAAGACCGTGCACGGACACGACGGCTCGAGCAGGATTGTTATGGTCAGGAAGACCGATCAGAGGACGTTCGCATCGATCGAGAAAGGACAGGTAATTATCAATTAGTTAGGGGGTTAATTATTGGAGATTTGAAGGTCGCAGGGTTGTGTTGTTTGATCGGGAAATTGATTTTTTTTCCGTGCGATGAAGATGGGTTTTGTTGTTGTTGTTGTTGTTTGGTTGATTTGATTATTCGCGATTTTAATTACGTTGCTTATGAAGCCTTGACTTACAGATTTTTTCAATTAGTGGGTATGCAGTGAGCGGTAAAAGTTTTAAATAAATTTGTAAAATTGAAAGTGATATTATTTATTAAATACATAGCTTTCGTTAATACCGCATTCTTTATAGAGTGTGGTTTTTGTTTGAGGTTTGATTGTAAAATGGCTGTCGCCTTATTATGCTGGACTTGTGTGACGAACATGTGACACTTAAAATAGTTGCAATAATTAAGTGTGAAATACACACTGTCTCTAAATAAGGCAAAATTACATAAAAAAATTGACCAGTTTTAAAAAATTTTGACACTTTTCGGAGTAAAAGAAAATTATTTTCTTCTTAATAGCGCCACAGTTTTTGTAATTTGACATCAAGTTTTTTTGAGTTTTAATATTGAATTGGATGTCTCCAAATTATTCCGGACTTGTGTGGTGCGAACATGTAACGTTCAAAATAATTGCCATAATTTATTGTACAATATACAGTGTGTTTCCTCATATATGGCATAAATTACATAAAAAAAGACAAAACATGTTTCTGGATAATGCACGTCAATGCCAAGTACTCTTTCAGAATCTAGATGTAGAAAAATAAACGATTAACCGATTTTTGAAAATTTTGACAAGTGTCGGATTACAAGAAAATTTAATCTAATTAACCCCAAAATTTTCATAATTTGATATCCAATTTGTGTCTGAGGCTCAATTTTAAGATAGATGTAGAAAAAAAATTAACCAGTTTTCAAAAATTTGACACTTTTCGCGTTAACAGAATTTTTTTTTCTTCTTTGTAGCACCACAGATTTTGTAATTTGACGTCCAGTTTGTTTGAGGTTTAATCTTGAACTGGGTGTCTCCTAATTATACTGGACTTACGTGACGAACATGTGACGTTCAAAATAATGGCAATAATTTATTGTAAAATATACAGTGTGTTTTCAAATAAAACACAAATTATGTAAAAAAGAACAGAAAATATTTTTGGATGGTATATTTCATTGACAAGTACTCTTTCTGATGTACACGTAGAAAAATAAACAATTGGGCAGTTTTTCAAAAATTTGGACACTTGTACAATTAAAAGAAAATATTTTTTTCTTATTGACACCGCAATATTTATAATTTGATGCATAATTTGTGTTTGAGGATTAATTTTAAAATGGATGCCACTTTATTATTTTGTATTGAGGTAACCAACGTGTGACACTTAGAATAATCGAAATAATTATATGTAAAATGTCAAGTTTTGAAAATTTTGAGATTTGTCGGATTACAAGAACATTTTCTTTGGAGCAACTGACCAGACAATTTGTATAATTTGATGTTAAATTTGTGTTTGAGGTTCAATTTTAAGACGGGTGTAAAAAAAAATTAACCAGTTTTCAAAAATTTTGACGCTTTTTCATTCACAGTAAATTGTTTTCTTCTTAGTATCACCACAGTTTTGGTAATTTAACGTCCAGTTTGTTTGAGGTTTAATCTTGAAGTGGGTATCTCCTAATTATTCTGGACTTACGTGACGAACATGTGACGTTCAAAATAACGGCAATAAATTATTGTAAAATATACAGTGTGATTCCAAATATAACACAAATTATGTAAAAAAGACAGAAAATATTTTTGGATGGTGTATTTAATTGACAAGTACTCTTTCTGACGTAGACGTAGAAAAATAAACAATTGGCCAGTTTTTCAAAAATTTTGACACTTGTCGCAATAAAAGAAAATGTTTTCTTGTCTAAATATGGGATAAATTACATAAAAAAACAGAAAATGGTTTTAGATAATGTATCATATTGAGAAGTACTCTTTCTAATCTAGATGTAGAAAATAAACAGTTGACCATTTTTTGAAAATTTTGACAATGGTTTAAAAATTTTTTTTGTTCTCATCGACATTAGAATTTTTACAGTTTTTCTTAAAATTTGTTTAAAGTAATGTCATCTTATTATTCTGGACTTCGGTGACCAACATATGGCATTTAAAATACTCGCAATACTTCATTGTAAAATCCACAGTGAATAAATATGCCATAATTTACTTAAAAAAAAAAAAACAGAAAATACTTTTGTATAATGTATCTCTCATTCACGAGTTCTTTTTGATCTAGATATAGAAAAATAAACGATTAACTATTTTTTGGAAATTCTGACGCTTGTCTATCTAAAATAAAAATTTTGCCTTCGTATTGACACCTCAATCTTTATAATTTAACGTCCAGTTTGTGTTTGAGACTTGATTTTTAAATGGATGTCAGATTATTTTTCTGGACTTATGTGACGAACATGTGACACCCAAAATAATTATAAATATTTATTGTAAAATGCACAGTGTGTTCGTGAATATGGCATAAATTACATAAAAAAGACAGAAAATGCTTTTTGATAATATACCTCATTGACAAGTACTCTTTCTAATCTAGATATGGAAAGAAATGACCAGTTTTTCAAAATTTTTGACACTTATCAAAATAAAAAAAAAATGCTTTCTTCTCTAAATATGACATGAATTATATTAAAAAAGACAGAAAATGCTTTTGCATAATGTATCACATTCACAAGTAGTACTCTTACTAATCTAGATGGAGAAAAATAAATAATTGACCATTTTTTGAAAATTTTGACGCTGGTCGGTTTAAAATAATTTTTTTTCTTCTCATCGACATCACAATTTTTACAGTTTTTCTTAAAATTTGTTTAAAGTAAATGTCAACTTGTAATTTTGGACTTAGGTGACCGACATGTGACACTTAAAATAATCGCAATAATTCATTGTAAAATCCACAATTTAGTAAATATGGTATAATTTACATAAAAAAAGAAATTTTTTTTGTATAATGTATCTCATTTACGAGTTCTCTTTGATCTAGATGTAGAAAAATAAACATTTACATATTTTTTGGAAATTTTGACACTTGTGTAGTTAAAATAAAAATTTTGGCTTCCTATTGACACCTCAATCTTTATAATTTGATGTCCAGTTTGTGTTCAAGATTTGATTTTAAAATGGATGCCACATTAATATTCTGGACTTATGTGACGAACATGTGACACCCAAAATTACTATAAATATTTATTGTAAAATGCACAGTGTGTTCGTAAATATGGCATAAATTACATATAATAGACAGAAAATGATTTTGGATAATATATCGCATTGACAAGTATTCTTTCTGATCTAGATATAGGAAAAAATGGTCAGTTGTTCAAAAATTTTGACACTTGGCCAAATAAAAGAAAATGTTTTCTTCTCTAAATATGACATGAATTATCTAAAAAAAGACAGAAAATGCTTTTGCATAATGTATCACATTCACAAGTACTCTTACTGATCTAGATGGAGAAAAATAAATAATTGACCATTTTTTGAAAATTTTGACACTGGTCGGTTTAAAATAATTTTCTTTCTTCTCATCGACATCACAATATTTTTACAGTTTTTCTTAAAATTTGTTTAAAGTAGATGTCATCTTATTATTCTGGACTTTGGTGACCGACATGTGACACTTAAAATAATCGCAATAATTCATTGTAAAATCCACAATTTTGTAAATATGGCATAATTTACATAAAAAAAGAAAATATTTTTGTATAATGTATCTCATTTACGAGTTCTCTTTGATCTAGATATAGAAAAATAAACAATTAACTACTTTTTGGAAATTCTGACGCTTGTCGAGTTAAAATAAAAATTTTGCCTTCGTATTGACACCTCAATTTTTATAATTTAAGGTCCAGTTTGTGTTTGAGACTTGATTTTTAAATGGATGTCAGATTATTTTTCTGGACTTATGTGACGAACATGTGACACCCAAAATAATTATAAATATTTATTGTAAAATGCACAGTGTGTTCGTAAATATGGCATAAATTACATAAAAAAGACAGAAATATCGCATTGACACGTATTCTTTCTGATCTAGATATAGGAAAAAATGGCCAATTTTTCAAAAATTTTGACGCTTGTTGTTTAATTATTACAAAAATTTACCATTTTAGTTATGTTTTTAAGTTTCTTGTCCCTTTGGCTCACGACGAATAAAAAAAACCATTGCAATTGAAATGAGGTGGGTGGGCGGGGTCTATATATTTTGCCTTTTTTTCTTAATATACATATTCTTTGAACAAAACGATACGCGAAACCATGTTTTTAATTTCTTGTAAAGAAATAAGTATTTTGCAGTTTAGCTACGCCCTCTTGATCGACGGCTAATAAAAAAAATCATCACAATTGAGATAGGGTGGGTGGGCGGGCTTACATTTTGCCTTGTTATTTTAATATGTGTAGACTTCTTTTCATAACATCAAACTTAAAGCATGTTTAAAATGGAAAATTTGTATAACGAAATATCGATTTCGTAATTAGGCTCCGCTTCATAATTGAAAATCCATATTTCCTTGCAAAAATGTTCCATTTTAACCATGTTTTAAGTTTCTTCGTGTGAAATGATGGCAATGTACATTAAAAAAAAAAGCAAAATATAAGCCCCGCCCACCCGCCCTATCTCAATTCTGATGATTTTTTTATTCGTCGTCACCCGAAGGGCGAAGTTTCATTGTAAAATCCTTATTTTTCTACGAGATATTACCATGTGATCTGACCTGACTGGACCTGAGAAGACCTGACCTGATCTAAATATGTAGTAATGAAGTTTTCATTCGTTGCCAGACCTACGGGCGGAGCCTAATTGCAAAATCCACATTTCCCTACAAAAATTTATCATTTTAAATGTATTTTAAATTTCTAAGAAAAAAATCATCACAATTGCGATGGGGTGGGTGGGCGGGGTTTATATTTTGCTTTTTTTTCTTAATATGCATAGTATTCTTTGAACAACACGATACTCAAAAACATGTTTTCAATTTCTTGTAAAGAAATAAGTATTTTGCAGTTAAGCTTGATCGACGGCGAATAAAAAAAATCATCACAATTGAGACAGGGCGGGTGGGCGGGCTTACATTTTGCCTTGTTATTTTAATATGTGTAGACTTCTTTTCGCAACATGAAACTTAAAACATGTTAAAATGTAAAATGTACAGTAGGTCTCGAAATATGCCATAAATTATAAAAATAAACAGAAAATATTTTTGTATGATGTATTTCATTGACAAGCTTTTGCTGATCTAGATGTAGAAAAATAAACGGTTGAGCATTTTTTGAAAATTTTGCCACTTGTCGAATTAAAAGACATTTTTCTTTTAATTGACACCACAATCGTTGTAATTTAATGTTCAATTTGTGTCTGAGGTTTGATTTTTAAGTGGATGTCACTCTATTGTTCTGGACTTAGGTGACCAACATGTTACACCTTAAATAATCAAAATAATTGTGTAAAGTGTACAGTGTGTCTGTAAATATGGAATAAACTGCTTAAAAAAAATCAGGAAAGTTTGCTATTCAATGAATCGCGTTAGCGGAGCGCTATTATTCATCTAAATGTAAAAAAAATAATAATAGCTCCTATTAGATTTTGGAAATTTTCACACTTGTCGGATTCTAATGATGTCTAATTTATGTTTGAGGTGTGATTTTAAAACTGACGTCGTTCTATTATTCTGAACTTGTGTGACGCTTAAAATAATTGCAATAATTTATTACAAATTATATGGTGTGTCTCTAAATATAGAATAAATCATATAAAAAAAAAATAGAACGTGTTTCTCTGTAATGTAAACAGTTTTGGGAATTTCTGACATTTATTAAATTAAGTTTTTTGCAGCAACAAAAAATAGACCAGAAGATTAAAATTAAAAAGGCGAATATAAGAACATGCTAAAAGAAGTACATTATTATTTTAAAATTAGATATTTCCGGTGGAAACTTGATAGATAATATAAAACTCTGTTTTAAATGTCCGGTTTATGACCTCAAATTGCATTAGTCAGCTCTTGTGACATCGTTAATGCAACGTAATGTGGAAATATTATCACACTGACCCGGGGAAAAGTGATGGGTCTAGGAAATTGCTTTATTTATAGTACAACGTCAAGTAATAATATTTATGGAAAGCATTTATGCAATTATTAATTAAAAAACTAAATCCAACACAAATATATAAAAATAGTTGACGGTTATTGTACGAGAGCGTAAAATTTTCACTGCACACCGTAAACCCAATAACAGTTCTTGTAATTGCATCACCGAACCCATTTAGCACCCATACCAACACACGTATCGGCCTCGAACGTCACCAAGTCCAACACAATTAAATAATAAATAATTTAACGCAAAAAATACCATCGCACGCAAAGGTTAAAATATTCAAGCGCATGAACTGGGCGCTTTTTACGAGCGCCCAGAGAAAGGCCGCCGCAAAATCCTCCGACAAAACCCATTTCAATCGAACGTGAAAAACCGAACGGTTTTTAAAACGGCACAATTACTCGATCGCGCCACTCACTCAACCGTAATTTTTTACATTTTTACGGATGCTTTCACCGTTTTTTACGCAGGAACCAAAATTAGAGACGATTACGCGTGAAACTATAGAAACATTCCGAGGGCAACGGACCGAATGCAAAATCACCACAGAGACGAAAGGCTGTGAAGAAAAATTCCCACCCGACCTTATCGAGTCGCTAAGCGACAAGGTAGCGAGAACTCCCAAGAAAACTCCATCGAATAAAGTACCACCCAGTTTTTTTTGTAGTAACACGAGTATTGAATTTGTTGTTGTTGTAGAAAAAAAGAAACCCCATCATGGACTTCCAATCAGAGTGCCTTACGGCTCATAACGAGTACCGAAAACGTCACGGAGTCCCTCCACTTAAACTAGACAAAGATTTGTGCAAAGTGTCCCAGCAATGGGCTAACTTTTTAATCAGCAGGAATATGCTTCAACACAGCAATAACAGTAGCTATGGAGAGAATCTCTTCAGTATGACCTCGAGCAACCCCAATTTCACTGTCGCAGGGAAGGAACCAGTCGAATCGTGGTATAGCGAAATCAAGTACTACAACTTCGGCGGCGAACCCTCGAGTCTGGCTTCGGGTCACTTCACCCAAGTCGTGTGGAAAGAAAGCGCTAGGTTGGGGGTGGCGTTCGCCAAATCCGGGGGCAGAGTGGTGGTGGTGGCAAACTACGACCCGCCTGGCAACTTCATCGGCGACTTTAGCAAAAACGTACCACCAGTTGGTGGTTTTTCCGGTAACAACAACCACGAAGACGTTAAAGACTTCGCTAACGGATTCTCGAAGTTGTCCCTCAACAACGGTACCAAACTAGGAAGTTCGCAGAAGGATCTCCGAAACGGTACTGAAGGCAACTTCGAGGAGGACTTCCTCAAAGCTCATAACGAATACCGCAGAAAGCACGGAGTACCACCCTTGAAGCTCGACAAGAAACTGTGCAAATATAGCGAAGAGTGGGCTAAGCATTTAGCCGCTAAGAATATTCTGGAGCACCGCCCCAGCTGCAACCATGGCGAAAACATCTACTGCATGTACTCCTCAGACCCTAATTTTACCATCACGGGTCACTCGCCCGTGGACGTGTGGTACGAAGAAGTCCAGCACCATCCCTTCGGGCGCGAACCCAACAGTCTCAAGTCGGGCCACTTCACCCAAGTGGTGTGGAAATCAAGCGAGTCGTTGGGGGTTGGAGTTGCCAAAAATAGCCAAGGGAGTATCTACGTAGTCGCCAATTACTCGCCCGCTGGTAATTTCGTTGGCCACTACGTCGAAAACGTACCACCCCCACTTAGCTCACCTTCCAAACAAGAAGTACCAGAGAAGAAGGTTTCCTTCCCTCGGGGTACCAACACTGAGGAAGGGTTCACTCAATACGCGCTCGATGGGTTGAAAGTGCACAACGAGTACCGACGCAAGCACGGGGTACCAGATTTGAAGCTCAACAAAGAGGTGAGTGCTGGGTTAATCATTCTTGGTACTTAATATTTAGTTGTAGATGTGTAAGTACGCGCAAGAATGGGCTGACACGTGTGCAAAAAGTGGGAGTATGTGCCATCGAGCCAACAACCCATATGGAGAAAACATTTTTTGCGTATATTCGTCGGACTATACTCACGTACCGACACCCCGTGACGCCATCAAGGAGTGGTACGACGAAGTCAAAATGCACACGTTTGGAGTGGAAGCAGTCAACCACGGGACTCTTCATTTCACCCAGATTGTATGGAAGGGTTGTACGGATCTGGGGTTCGCGATGGCCAAAAACCAGAAAGGGGAGACCTACGTGGTCGCTAATTACAACCCGAGAGGGAACTACGTCGGCCAGTTCGTCGACAATGTGCCCAGACCCAGATTCTGACCCTTGAAGAAGTAATTTTATTTTTGTACATTCCACAAAGCCAAAGATTTGATAATAATTCCAGATCAATTATAGCGTAGGGGTAGTAGAATAGTTATGTTATCATTTTTACACTCGATAGTGAGAAGTTGTAATTCCAGCTCGTTACCAAAGAGCATTAATCTTTTCTATTAATATATCACTGTATATAACCTTTAAGCACACGATAATCAATTTGTTGCAATTGTTGGATTTTACTATGGTCATGTCTTGGTGGTACCGTTTGATAAGTGATTTTTGGTAGGTGTAGTTTATAGACTGTGATTCCTCGAAGACTGTCCAAGTTGTTGGCGACACTTTAATTACCTCCGCAACTGTTTAATCCGTCAGCGTTTTAATATCACTAGGTTGCTGAAGCGATTTTTTACGATTTAGAAGCGTTTACACCTATCACTGTGATTTTAGGACGATTTGAATCAGCACTTGTTCCTTACAAACGCTTCTAGTATTTGATGCGAATTCTTACTGTAGTGGAGAGTAGTGTCCGTGGAAAACTTCCAAGTTGTTGAATTTTTACCATGGATTATAGTTGTTTGACGTTGTACAGTGCACAGTGTTGAAAAGGTTTCAACAACAAGTACAAATTGTTATTTCGATATTGATATTACCTCCAACAATTGTATTTTGTCATGTATGGGACGACAAGTCCTGGTTTCAATTTTGGAGAATAAACTCAACAAGAATGCGTTGGTGTCTTAATTATTTAACCTGTCTGGGGGTTCTAGTCCAGTCTGACCTCATTTGACCCGAGATAGAAGCGGCATCACTTTCTGTCGACACTTAGAGTCTGGTGATCTGATCTGGAACCGGGGAAAAAGTGAAACTGAATCTAGGTTAGGTCAGTTGGGACCTGGTGAACCAGTGCGGGAAAAAATTACTTTTTACTTCATCAAAAGTACTTGAAATTTGGATTAGGTGCTTTCCCAATTTTCAGATGATCCCATCTGCTCCTACGATGTCTTCTCCTTGAAGTAATTTGAAAAAATCTCGGGGTTCCTTTGTCTTGTTCTTGAAGTAATTTAAAAGAATCTCGGGGATCCCTTTGTGTTTGGTTTCTGAAGCAGATTGAAAGAATTTTGGGGATCCTTTGTCTTGTTTTTGGAGAGTAATTTGAAAGAATCCCGGGAACCACTTGTATTCTGTTTTTGAAGTAGTTTGAATCTCGGGATATAAAAATATATAGAAAGATATAGATATGGTTTTAGAAAGACGTGGAATGGTACATACGGATAAATAAGTATACAAAGATATAGAAGAATATAGAATTCCAAAGACGGATTTTGATGGATAGATGGATATAGAAAGTAATAGAAGCACAGATTTGTGATCTTCTGAAAAAATATAGTAAAATATAGCCGGAGATAGAAGGGTTTAGAATGATGTAGACGAATGTAGAAAGTTAAAGACCGAAATAGAAGGATATAGGAATAGATCCATATAGACAGACGTGAAGAGATATAATGAAGGATATAGACGTATATAGACAGATATAGAAGCATATAGATGGATACAGGAAAAGATAGACCAATATAGAAGAATATAGGCGGATAATGAATGATATAAAAAGATATAGACGGCTGCAGAGGGGTATAAAATAGAAGTGTATAGACGGATGACAGATCTAGACAAATATAGTAAGATGTGGCTATAGAATGATATGGACGGACATAGAAAGATACGGACGTATTTAGAAAGATATAAGATGGTACAGACGGATTTTGATGAATATAGACGAATATGAGAGGATATAAACCGAAATAGAAGAACTGAGGAACATACAGATGGATACAGACGTATATAAAATGATATAGAAGGATCCAGAAGGATACAGAAAGATGTAGACGTATTTAGAAAAACAGTAAGATACAGAAGCACAAATTCTCTGAAAAAATGTAGAAAGATATAGCCAGATGTAGAAGGATACAGATGTATATAGAGAGAAGAATATTGGTCGAAATAGGAATAGATAGATGAATATGGACGGAAGTAAAGAGATATAATTGACAACGGATATAGAAGGATATGAACGGATATAGAAAGGTATAGAAGGATTTAGAAGAATATAGGCACACATCAAAATATATAGAGGCATCTAAAAGGAGATAGAATGGTACAGACGGATATGGACGAATATAGAATAATGATATAGAAGCACAGATTCGTGATTAAAAAAAAATATATAACGGAATATAGTCGGATATAGAAGGATATAGAGGGATGCAGAAGGATATCGACAAATATAGATGGATGTAGAGGAATATGAAAGGATGTAAAGGCTATAGACTTATTTAGAATAATATAGAAGAATATGGAAAAGATATGAACGGTTATGGGAAGATATAGACCGATATTGAAGAATATAGACAGACATATACAGATGTAGATGGATATAGACGACTATAAAAGATACAGATGAATTTAGAATATATAGAATGGTACAAATGGATTTTGATAGATATAGACGGATATAAACGAATGTGAGAGGATATAGACTGAAATAGAAAGACGGAGAAAGATGTAAATGGCCACAGACGGATATGGAGGGATATAATAAGATATAGATGTATATAGAACGATATAGAAAGATATAGACTTTTGGAACGATATAGAAAAGACATGAACGGATATTGTTAGATATAAACGGATATTGATAGATATAAACGGATATCGACAGTTACAGATTGATATAGACGGATATGGAAGAATATAGACGGATTTGGAAGAGTACAGATAGATATAGAAGGATATGGAAGCACAGATTCTTGATCCTCGGACAAATTTCCGATAAAATAGACGCCTTTCCAGACTGGTTTTAAATTTTCTTTTTTTTTACCAAGAAGGGAAATTTTTTCTGTTGTTACTGGCAAAAATAAACACAGATTTGTAATCCTGAGAAAATTTCCGATAATATAGACGAAGAAAATTGAGAAGATATTAAAATATGTAGCGTGCTCCATTTAATAAAAACTACTTGTACGTTACTCCTCAAAAATAGAACACTCTGTATAGTTGAAAACAACTCCAGCTTTAGTGTCTGATTTTCTGTTATTTTTATTAATAATAAATAATATGGAGTCCATTATAAACTTCTGAAAAAATTATTGATGAAGTTTAATTGGGTTATACTTTGCAATTACTTTCAAATGCGCAAGGTGTTTCATTAAAACGTTACGAACTGACGTATTTTTTTTCATATAACTCTTTAATATGTCTTGTTTTTGAAGTAATTTGGAAGAATCTGAGGAAGCTCTTGTGATTTGTTTTTGAAGTAGTTTGAAAGAATCTCGGAAATCCCTTGTCTTGTTTTTGAAGTAGTTTGAAAGGATCTCGGGAACCCCTTCTGTTTTGTTTTTGAAGTAGTCTGAAAGAATCTCAGGAACCTCTAGTGTTTTGTTCTTGCAGTAGTTTGAAAGAATCTCGGACATCCCTTGCTTTATTGTTGACGTAATTTGAAAGAATCTTGGAGATTCCTTGTCTTGTTTTTGAAGTAATTTGAAAGTATCTCGGGGATCCCTTGGGTTTTATTTTTGAAGTAGTCTTTAAAAATTCGCGGAACCTCTTATGTGTTTGAAGGAAGTAGTTTGAAAAAATCTCGGAGAACCCTTTTGTTCGTAAAGCAGTTTGAGACAAACTCCGGAAATCCTTTTGTTTGGTTTTTAATAGTTTGAAGAAATCTCGGGAACCACTTGTGTTGTGTTTTTGAAGTAATTTGAAAGAATTTCGGGGATCGCTTTCATATTTCTCACGCAATATGAAGGAATCTCAGGGACATTTTACGTCTGGGTTGTGAAGTAGTTTGAAAACATCTCGAGGACCACTTGTGTTTTGTTTTTGAAGTAGTTTGAAGGAATGTCGGGGATTCTTTTTCTTGCTTTTGAAGAAATTTGAAAAAATTTTGTAAACCCTTTGTTTTTTGTTGGTGAAGTGGTTGAAAGTATGAAAAATTGAATCCCCAATTAAATACTAAGTAAGCACAAGCACTAAAATTTGAAAAATTAAATGACGAGGAATTGAAAAATTAAATAAATGAAAAATTTTAAAATCCAATAGTTCAATAGTTCATTTGTAGAATTTTTAAACAACCTTTTCAGAAATGAAATTTTTCACTATATTATTTACCCCAATTTCGACCCATTTTGGATCATTTTCGAAATTTAACTAAATACATCTTTTCATAGATTTTGCGCCACAGAAGTCACTTCTTCGAATACGCAAACAGTTTTTCCAGAATCATCCAATGAAATTTTACAATTTTTAGAAATGTCAGAAAGTTCGAATTTCATTATGAATATTTCCAAAATAGTGCTCCATGACCAAAAACAGGCTATATTATTTTTAAAATCAGCACGGAGGGAACTAAATCCCTGAATTTTCTGAAAATTTTTAAGCAACCCTTTCAAAAAAGTCTTACTTTAACAAGTGCTAGCCCCGCCCACCCACCCTCTATTTTCTTAGAGCGTATGTCCTTTGCCAAAATCAGTCTGATCTTATTACACTGTACCAAAACGAAGAGTCTAAAATTGCGCCACAGGATTTCTGTTAATTCGAGACAAAACATAATTGGGAACAGAAGAACGAATAAGTCAAAACCAAACAAGGTTCCAGACAAGTCTAGTACTATAAAAATTATTATGGAAGAGTTGAGTTACTAAAAAATTCGATAGATTCCACCATTTAAATAATTTCCAAATTCATTATTTAACATTACAGAGTGAAAAACCTTTACTGAATACGTTCACATTTGAGTCAATACTGTAGTAGCAAATTATAGAGTCCATTTTCAAAGATGTTCCATTGCCCCTTCTACCATCATCCGCCCCAACCACCCTAATTGGCAACCACCTGGACCACGTTCGCAGAAAACGTCCCCGGCATGTTCCCCTTCGGATAGTAATTGGCAATAACGAAAACTTTGCCGTTAACACTAGTGGCCATCCCCACACCCAAATCCGTAGTATCCTTCCACACCAACTGCGTAAACTGGTACTTCTTCTTCTTCACGTTCTCCGTGCCGTAGGGAAATTTCTCCCCTTCCGCGTACCAAGCCGTCACAGCGTCCTGAACGCTAGCATTCTTCTTGCCACTACAGAAAACGTTTTCGCCGTATTCTGGGTCTCCCCGCTGCGCAATGCTCTTTTTCTTGGCACACTGGTCGGCCCACTCTTGCGCCATCCCGCACAGCTGCAAAACTTCGCTAAGGAAAAGGTTCACCCCAAGGTTACGTTACCTCTTTGTTTAAAATGAGGTCCGACACGCCGTGCTTCTGCCGCAGCTCGTTGTGCAGCAAGAGGGCTTCCTTTGCAAATCCTGGGTACTCGTCTATTCGCAGCGCAGACATTTATTGGTCGTTTTGGGATTGTTGCAAACTGGTCTGGATTTTGTCACTTTGTAGAGTCCGAAATGTCATGTTCGAAGTGTCAAGAGTCAAAGTGTCAAGGTATCTTGGCAGCCGGGATAATTTAGTGGGTTTGTTCGCCGGTTCTGGAATATGAACTAGGTTCTTCCATTGAGCGCCGGTCCGCGAATCCAAGTTTAATCAACTTTTAAAAGAAGTAAAATTTAGACCTCTCAAATGTCGGTTTAAATTTTCTACCCTTTATCACGGGACTTGAGGTTCTCTCAAATTACTTCAAAAACAAACATTAGGAGTTATTGAGATACTTTCAACCCGCCTCAAAAACCAGACACAAAGATTCGCCGTGATTCTTTCAAACTACTTCAAAAACAAAACACAAGTGGTCCCTGAGATGCTGTAAAACTACTTCAAAACCCAGACGCAACGTGTCCCCGAGATTTCTTCATATTCCTCCAGAAACATGAAAGCGATCGCCAAAATTTTTTCAAACTACTTCAGAAACAAAACACAACTGGTTCTCGAGACTACTTCAAACTACTTCAAAAACAAAATGCAAGGCGTCCTCACAGGGAGTCTCTGGGATTTTCTCAAACTGCCTCATAATCAAAAGGGTTCCCCGAGATTCTATGAAACTAATTCATTCAAAAACAAAAGAATCTTCCGATATTTTTTCAGACTACTTTAAAACACAACACAATGGATCCCCAGATTCTTTCATATTACTTCAAAAACAAGACATAAAGGTTCCCCACGACTCTTTCAAACTACTTTAAAAACCAGACAGTAGGGGGGTTCCCGAGATTCTTTTAAATTACTTCAAAAACAAGACCCACAAGTGGTCCTCGAGATTCTTTCAAACTACATGCTTCAAACACAGAGCACAACGACAAGAAATCCCCGAGATTCTTTCAAATTACTTCAAAAACAAGACAAGGACTCCCCGTGATTCTTTCAAATTACTTCAAAAATAAGAGAAGGGATCCCCGAGATTCTTTCAAATTATTTCTAAAACAAGACAAGCAACCTCGAGATTCTTTGAGACTAGTTCAAAAACAAAACAGAAGGGGTCCGCGAGGTTTTTCAAACTACTTTAAGAACAAAACACTAGGGGTCCCCGAAATTCTTTCAAATTATTTAAAAAATAAAAGAAGGGATCCCCGAGATACTTTCAAATTACTTCAAAAACAAGACAAGGAATCTCCGAGATTCTTTCGAATTACGTCAACAAGGGATGTCCGAGATTCTTTCAAACTACTGCAAGAAGAAAACACTAGAGTTTCCCGAGATTCTTTCAAACTACTTCAAAAACCAGACACAAGGGTGTTTCGAGGTTGCTTCAAACTACGTCAAAAATCCGACACAAGGAGTGCACGAGATATACCAAAACCCAAAGGGTCCTCGAGATTGTTTCAAATTACTTCAGAAACTAGACTCACAGCTAGTCTCCGAGATTCTTTCAAACTACTTCAAAAACCAGATACAAGAGTCCCCGATATTCTTCCAAACTACTTCAAAAATAAAACCAAAGAACTCCTTACAGAGATTCCGTGAGATTTTCTCAAATTGCTTTACGAATAAAAGGGGTCCCTGGGATTCTTTCAAACTTCTTTCTTCAAAAACAAGAGGTTTCCGAAATTTTTTCAGACTACTTCAAAAATAAAACTGAAGGAATCCCCAGGCTTCTTTCAGATTATTTTAAAAATAAGACACAAGGAGTTCCCGAGACTGTTTCAAACTACTTCAAAAATCTGGTACAAGGGGTACCGGAGATCATTTCAAACTACTTGAAACCCAACAGGTCTCCGAAATTCTTTCAAAATACTTAAATGAAAGACCCACATGTGCTCCCCGAGATTCTTTCAAATTACTTCAAAACCAAAAAAGGTATTCTCTAGATTTTTTCAAATTACTTCAAAAATAAAACCGAAGGACTCTCCGGGATTCTTTCAGATTACTTCAAAAACAAGATGCACGGAGTGCAGGACACTCTTTCAAACTACTTCAAAAACCAGACACAAGGGTGTTTCGAGATTGCTTCAAAACACGTCAAAAATGAGACACAAGGAGTGCACGAGATACACCAAAACCCAAAGGGTCCTTGAGATTGTTTCACATTACTTCAGAAACTAGATTCACAGCTAGTCTCCGAGATTCTTTCAAACTACTTCAAAAACCAGATACAAGAGTCTCCGAGATTCTTCCAAACTACTTCAAAAAGAAAACCAAAGGACTCCTTACAGAGAGTCCGCGAGATTTTCTCAAATTGCTTTACAAACAAAAGGGGTTCCTGAGATTCTTTCAAACTTCTTCCTTCAAAAACAAGAGGTTTCTGAGATTATTTCAGAGTACTTCAAAAATAAAATCGAAGGAGTCCCCGGGGTTCTTTCAGATTACTTTAGAAACAAGATACATGGAGTCCCGGACACTCTTTGAAAACTTCTTCAAAAATCATACACATGGGGTTCCCGAGATTACTTCAAGCGACTAAAAAAGCAAACAAAAAGAGTTCCCGAGATTATTTCACACTACTTCAAAAACCAGACACAAAGAGTCCACGAGATACCAAAATCCAAAGGGTCCTCGAGATTGTTTCATATTACTCAGAAACCAGACCCACAGGGGGTCTCCGAAATTCTTTCAGACTACTTCAAAAACCAGACACAAGGAGTCCCCGAGATTCTTTCAAACTACTTCAAAAAGAAAAGCAAAGTAGTCCTGACAGAGAATCCCCGAGATTTTCTCAAATTGCTTTACAAACTACAGGGGTTCCTGAGATTCTTTCAAATTTCTTCCTTCAAAAACAAGAGGTTTCTGAGATTTTTTCAGACACAAGGAGTCCCCAAGATTCTTTCAAAATACTTCAAAAAGAAAACCAAAGGAGTCATCATAAATTATGAAATTCATCAAAAATTATGAAATCCATGACAAAAATACAAGAAAAAAAAATCTGTTTCATGTTCCATTCAAGAAAAAAACCATTTGTAAAAATTGTTTGTTTGTATCAGGTTTAGAAATGTATAATAGGTTACCTATGGAAATTACAGCTACTACAAATTTGCGGCTCTTTAAAAATAAGCTAAAATATTATTTAGTTAAGAAGTGTTTGTATACAGTGAATGAATTCTTAGTTTGATGTATGTCTTTGTAATGTATTCTCTTTTGTTTTATTTTCTATACTGACGATTTCCATACAAATGTATTTGTCTCTCTGGAAATAAAATGATTATTATTATTATTATTATTAGAGAGTCCCCAAGATTTTCTCAAATTCCTTTACAAAAAAAAGGGTCCCTCAGATTCTTTCAAACTTCTTTCTTCAAAAACAAAGAGGTTCCTGATATTTTTTCAGACTACTTCAAAAATAAAACCGAAGGAATCCCCGGGATTCTTTGAGATTATTTCAAAATATTACAAAAACCAGACACAAGTAGTCCTCGTGATACTTTTAAACCACTTCAGAAACGAAAACCAGGTTCCTGAGATTCTTTCAAACTTCTTCCTTCAAAAACAAAATAGGTCCTCGAGACTCTTTCAAACTACTTTAGAAACCAAAAACAAGGGGTCTCCGATATTCTTTCAAACTACTTCAAAAAAGAAAATACTAGGGGCTCCTGAAACTCTTTCAAATTACTTCAAAAACAAGACCCACAGGAGGTCCTCGAAATTCTTTCCAACTATCTACATACTTCAAAAATAAAACCAAAGGGGTCCTCGAGATTCCTTCAAACTACTTCAAAAATCAGATACAAGGGGTGCCCGCGATCCTTTCAAACTAGTTGAAAAACCATACATAAGGTATTCTCGAAATTCTTTTCGACTACATTAAAAATGAAACCCAAGAGGTCTCCGAGATTCTTTCAAAATACTTAAATGAAAGACCCACATGTGGTCCCCGAGATTCTTTCAAATTACTTCAAAACCAAAAAAGGTCTTCTCTAGATTTTTTCAAATTACCTCAAAAATAAGCTCTACCCGAACCTATTTTAAACTAGTACTTCAAAAACAAAACACAGTGGGTGTCTAACATTCTTCACACTACTTCAAAAATCACACAAGGTTTCCCCGAGATTCTTTCAAACTACTTCAAAAACAAAACACAGTGGGCCCCTGAAATTCCTTCAAACTAGTTCAAAAATCAGACAAACACAAGGGGTCTCCGATATTCTTTCAAACTACTTCAAAAAAGAAAATACTTGGGGCCCCTGAAACTCTTTTAAAATACTTCAAAAACAAGACTCACAAGAGGTCCTCGAGACCCTTTCCAACTACCTACATATTTCAAAAACAAAACCAAGGGGGTCCCCGAGATTCCTTCAAACTGCTTCAAAAATGAGATACAAGGGGTACCCGAGATCCTTTCAAACTACTTGAAAAACCACGCATAAGGTATTCTCGAAATTCTTTTCGACTACTTTAAAAACGAAACCCAAGAGGTCTCCGAGATTATTTCAAAATACTTAAATGAAAGACCCACATGTGGTCCCCGAGATACTTTCAAATTACTTCAAAACCAAAAAAGATATTCTCTAAATTTTTTCGAATTATCTCAAAAACAAGCTCTACTCGATACTCTTTTAAACTAGGTACTTCAAAAACAAAACACAGTGGGTGTCTAAGATTCTTCAAACTACTTCAAAAATCACACAAAAACTCCCGAAATTCTTTCAAACTACTTCAAAAACGAAAATACTAGGCGCTCTTGAAACTCTTTCAAATTACTTCAAAAACAAGACCCACAGGAGGTTCTCGAGACTCTTTCCCACCACTTAGGGGAAAGTGGTTACCCTTCGTACACTTTTTAGATTTATTTTTTTTACTTTATGATTAATTGTCGAATTTATCTAGTTTATGTACCTAAGTATAACAAATATATTGTAGTTTGTTACAAAAAAGTCCGAAACTTTTATCTCAAAATGTTAAAGGGTTATAGCCATTTTTCTATGATAAGATATTTGTACGAACGTACCCCACGTACGGGGTACGTTCGTACAGTAGGCGGGGTGCTTTCGTACGGCATGGGGTAGATTCATACAGGAAATTAAAAAGCCAATTAACATCGT